ATAGCTATGGTAATTACTATAGTCTACAATAAATATTATGGAGAGGGTCGACTACATTTAACGATCTCAACACTTTCTAAATAGAAATTGACATACGTGTTCCTTTATACTTTACCTTTATCTTTAAATTTCTATTTCTCTCCTCTTATGAGGGTTATTGAAATAGAATAACATAAAACATGGAGAAACATGCAATAATAATTATTTAATGATATGGAGAATAAAATATAACTATAATTTTTAAAGTTTACTTTATAAAAAAAATCATAATCTATAACTTTGACACAACATCACATGCCAAGATTTAAATGCATACTCCAGCATGTGTTAAACTCAACGAATTGCTCCAAAATTTAAATTTGAAAAAAAATTATATATATACGAAGAGGGAATCAAATTCCACGACGCTCAGTCAACAACCATATTGCCACGAAATAGATGGATCGATAGATGGATGAAAACTATCCACGTAGAATCTTCAAAAGATTCTCGGTCTCTAGGTTCGAGTGCACCCACCCATCCACCCAGTTTTGGGAACTCTAAGTGGGAACACTGGGAACAGGGGGTTATAAGTTCTCCTTCGGATCCTTTGGATGGAACGATCCTTCTGAGTTTTTTATGTTATTTTTTATAAACTATTTACTTATTAATTTATTATTATTATTATTTTCCTTCGTCTGTCTGCCTGTGTGTTTTGTGTATGGGACAATTCCCCAACAATCCCCCACGTCTTACTCTCAAGAGGAGGGAGCTATTTTGTTTGCACTGCCCTCGCTACCACTATTTTTGACAACTTGACAAATTATTTTTTTACAGAGATTTGTCTTATTTTGTTACAAATTTTTGTTATTTTTTCAGACAAGTTGTTTTCTTAGAACATGAAGATTCATAGTTTGTTGTTTCTACTTGATTTAAAGGAGAAAAAAAAACAAAGAAAAGTATTGGGTCGGGGCAAGGAAGAGTAGAATGCTTTTTATTGCTCTGTATGTAAAGACTTAGAATCCGTGGATAAATATAAATATAAAAATATATGTATATATATATGTATATTGTTTTCTTTAATAATTTAATTTAAAGGAAGTTACTTGTTTAGAAAAGTACAAGGCTTTCTGTACTTTCCTAAACAAGTACTAAATGCTTTCCTTACTCAGATACACAAAACTTTTAGTGCATGTTATACATGTCATTTAAGATTCAAACACCAGTTTTAATGAATTATATACCCTGTATAATTACTAGGGTTTCTTTTTCTTCTTAAAACATTGTTGTTGTTATTATATTTCTAACAAGTTTCTATTTTTTTGGATAGGGTCTAGAACATATAATTATTTCATCTTGCATAAATTACATACCAAAAGTCTATTAATTAAATATATTCAAATAATAGTTTTGGCATAGTTTTATTGCAACAACTTATTCAGTTTTCTTAGAGCCTTAAAAATCTTTTATGCGCTTCAATATGTATATTTTTATACTTTTAATGTACATCAAATTGTATGCATGTTAAAAATTGTAGTTGATAGATTTATCATTAACTATTCTTTGCCCATACTAATGATTTATCTCTAATAAGTTGGCACATCACAAATGTGCATCATTTTTATGCGACAATTGGTATATACTGATTTTTATAAACTACAAACTTTGTAACTTTAAAATATTGAATATTATCTTTTAAAGTCATAAAATACATAAAAAGAATGAATTTTATTATAACAAAGAAACCAAGATTTTTAAAAAAATGGGCATGCACTAATTTTACTTGAAAATTAAACAACACTTTGCTTAATTTTTTGTACACATTTTATGTAAAATTATATAATATGTTATAGAAATAAATAATTCACTGAAACATTAAAAATATGGGAAATAGTTTTAAATGACATCAACATATGTAAAAAAGAAAGATGAATATATCTGATCATTTTTTTATTGTAAAACTGAACACATTCTGTACCAAACGATTTCAGAGTCTTTTCTTATACCTAATAAATTTATGTACATAATTTTTTTCTTTTCTTTTCTTGAAATGCAAGTATATTTTAATGAAAAAAAAATCAAATATATGTATAAGAAATTAATATAAATAAATCTTTTTTGATGATAGATTTTACATTTTAACTAGCTCAAAAATTACTCATTGTTTATATACATATATACATATATATATATATATATATACATACACAAGAGTTTTTTAAACCACACCCCACATTACCATCTCATGATCAATTCCGTCCATCCCCATATTTGTTTTTTGTTCCATGTCCCCCGTCCCTTGTTTCCAACTCCTAAACCTCATTCCCTATTTTCATCTCTCGTTCACTATCCCCTAAAATTAATCATCACATAGATTAGGGGGTGTGGCTATGACAACTCCCTACATTTATACATGTGAGTGTGTATGTATATTTGATATTTTAATAAATTCAATAAAAAAAAATTAAGTGATTAAAAATGTGTAAGTAATTAAATACAGATTTAAATATGATAAATTTTAATAGTTCTATAAAGTTGAAATATTAATGATTAGATATAATTTAATTATTTTATTGATTTTTTTAGTGGAGGATTTTTGTTAGATAATCTTTTTAGGAAGTTTTCTTATTAAAAAATCAGTCATATAACAATAGTACAAATAAATTATATCTATAAATATATAATCATTTAAGTATTTTTTTGTTCACAATAATTAATATAAAAAAACTAACTATAACTTGAATTTAGATATCTAGTATTGTTTGTTGTTTTGATAATTAAAAACATATAAAAATTAATATTTTTTCTTTGCAACCAATGATATAATTTAGTGTAGAAATAGCTATATATATAAATATAATATTTAAATATTTAATATAATAAAATTTTATTATATATTTATAAATAATACAATTACAATATACAATTTATATATATCTATATATCTCTATATATATACAATTATACAACAATTTTGAAAGAGTTTACATTTTTTATTTTATTTGTTTTTATTTTTTGTCAATTTAAAGATACCAACCGTCTTCATGAAACACAAAGTAAAATAGTTGATTTTTGTATATTAATCATACAAGGAACAAGTAATGATAACTGGACATTTCTGAGAGGATTTGGCTAATTTTTTTATGTATCATCATATCATCATTATCTTGTATAAAAAAATATAAAAAATAAAAAATAAAAAATAATCATACACTTGGTTTCAAGTTATTTTTTAAAAATTTTAATTTTTTTTATGAAATATGGTAAAAAATAATATGATAAGAATGTTTAACAAAAGATACAAAACTATGTAATTCAATTGAAAAGATGCCATGGTAGTTTTTGCTATGGCCATCACAACTTGCCACCTATTCAATTTAATTCTTTTGTTAACTCTGGAAGTAATATGTTTAACATTTTTGAAGCTGCACTGGATGTACGAAAGTTGCTCCTTTCCTTTACCGAAGACGTCAAGTAAAGCAGCTTACCACGTTGCCCACTATTCTCATCCATTTGTTTAACGTCTTCATCATAACGAATGTACGCTGGATCCTTTCCACATTCATCCATTTTGCACTGGGGACGGTGATCCTTCACCACAGGTACTCTAGTGGGTCACTAACAAACAAACCATTGCCCTTATCTTTTTATCTTTTTCTTTTTTATCTTTTATATTCAGTTTTTGACAAGGGGTTGGAAAAAGTGAATTCATGATTTTACTCATCTTTTGCACCTTTCTATTTTTACTACTAACTTCACAACTTTTTCTTATAACACTATATTTTAAGAATATAGTCAAAGATATTTGCGCAATAATGTCCTTAACCAAAGTGACTTTGCTCTATGCAAAGCTTTTTTGGATTCCCATCTCATGAGAACTTTTTAAACAATACCAATGTTGTAATTATTATTACATTGAACAAGTCAAGGTTAGACAAATCATGTATTCTTTTGTTATTATTCTTATTATTACTATTATTATGAGTTTGAAAGCTTCAATGAAATTATGTGAGAGGCAATTTACAAAGAAATTATGTGAACATTTTGCTAAGAACTTTAACTAACCAGAACAAGACAGAGAGGAAAAGATGTATGAGAAAAGAAAAGAAAAGAAAAGGAAAAATAGAAATAGAACTGAAATAAGTTAAAAGGAATGATAGAAATTGGTAGAGAACTATTCAAACTTCAATTTGAAATTAGGTATATGTTTCACAGATGTGTATGGATCTTTACAGTAAATAATACAGTGTGACAAAAGTTTTAGTATAGACAGGTATGTACACGTGTACGTTATCGTACTTTAAGAGAAAACACTTAAGATTTCTTGATAGTTGTGTACATGTACAACAATTCTCTTACATGCATGACAGGTATTTTTGTCAAAAATAATCTCAAATCCATAATGTTGATTTTACACATATAGACCACAAAAGGAAAAAAGATCATATCAAAATCACCCATGGATTTTTTCACTTTTCATATATTTATGACATTACAATTATAAAAATATTTTATTTTGACACAAATACGAAAAAGAAAAGAAAAAAGGTCACTTGGTTTTGTGCAAAAGAACTTAGTGTATGGTTACAATGATTACAATTATGTATACATATCAATATCAAAGGAGATTTTGTTTATGTATTTATTTATTTCCAGATTCAAGTGAAAAATACTGTGTATCCCCTGAAACCAGTTGTTTTCATGTTCAATCATCTAATACAGATTGGGCAATTTGTACCAATATGACACTAAACAATAAAATACCCAAACAATTTAACAAACCTAAATATCGGTTTTAAAAAAAATAAATATTGCACTCTCTTCCAGTGCATGAGAAAGTATAAAGTCTGATAACCAGTAATGTGATTTATTTTTATCTTAATTATTCACTACAGAAGACTATTTTGCATGTCTTCAACATCCATTTTTTATTTTTTATTTTTTCCTCCCATGGACATATACCATGATATCTACATTCCCATGCCTCTCAAATCCAATAAGAATAACCAAAAATTTCAGAATTAAAAGTTGATTTTATGAGCAACATGGCATACTTTCCTTACCAGTGCTACATTATATATATATATATATATATATATATATTATTGTGCGATATTTGGATCATTCCAAATGATTGAAAGCACCATTCAGCAACTTAAGTGTCATCTTTTCTTTGACAACACATCAAGTTCCTAAAAACGTACACTTCTACAAACCACAGTTTTTTTTTCTAAATTTAAATTTAAAATTTAAAATAAAAGAAACTGATACCACAAATAAAAATAATGTCATCTATGCAAAGCTGTGACAAGATATGTCGGCAGGATCGTCGACGGTGCATCTTACTTGTAAGTCCTCAACAGCAACGTCGTGGGAAGATCTGCACCGATGGAAGCACGTTGGGCAACGAAGGGCATCGGCATGTCTCTCTCCCTCTGTTGTTGCGAGGCACCTCGGCAGGGCTGGATTAGGGTTTGTGGGAGAGAGACAGACACACACACTCGTAACGGTGTTTTTGCATTGCATTTGGCAATGGAAGCATTGGCATTGCGAGGCGGCGGCATGAAGCCCATTGGAAGCATTGGCATTGCAGAGCCAGAGACACAGGCAGGAAGACCTCAACAGGGTGGCCTTCCTCCACACTCGACTCCACTCCCACCAGAACCCCCTCCCGCGTTGTCCAGGATGTTGGACTCCGACATGCGAGGAAGCGTCATGGCCGAGTTGATTGTTGACAAACTGAAGCTTCTCCACTACGAGCAGCAGTTTTGCAGTTCTAGGTCCCCGCCCTGGCCGCGCCTCCACAAGTTCTACTTCGCCCTGCCATCGCTTCACCGTAACGAACAGTTTCTTTATTTCTCGAGCTTGGCCGCGTGGCTTTTCGGACTGCTTGGTTGCCAATTTGCCCCTCCTTCCGAAATTAATGACCCTAATATGACGTGCGCTAAAATAATGATGGAGCTCATGAATTTGGGACTCGCGCCGCCCGGTTGGCTTCCTGCTCGATTGAAGCAGGGATACGGAGACGCTGTCTGTAGCGTATTGGACACCTTGTGCAGTCTGGTTCTCGATGCTATCAAATTCGAGTTCCCGCCCATCGCACACTCGTGCCAGGAAGAGTTGCTCGTGGAGACTGGAGACGACGAGAGCGCATCTGAGCTGTACATTGCAGATGAAGCAAACACCGAAGAGACATATGGTGACGGTGACACGCCACGGATAGTGCATCCGCAGATGCTGAACGATTCAAACACAATACTGGCTGCAAATCTCAATGCGAACAAATGGAAGTTGGACCTCGAGCGGATCGCCCCGCATTTGCGTGTCGCAGTGTCTTCCGATGGGAACGATTGGAGGGCACATTTAGATCGAGCGAAGAAGCTCTACGAGGAGACTTCCTCAAGCTTCACCCGCGGCAAAACAGACTTAAACAGGTTCGAAAAGAATGTGACCTCGTCGCTGGAGAAACTAGAGACCCATGAAAACTTCATTAACCAGCAGTTGGAATCGTTGATATTGGAGTACGTTGCAGTGCAAGGTCAGCTGTCGGGGGTCCAGCAGAAACAGAACCAAAGTGGGGAGACGTTGTCGAGGTTAACGATTGAGCATGCAAAGCTTCTCGAGTCTCTGGAGCAAATAAAACAGAAGATGGTGGACAAAGGCAATGAAATCTCCGACCTCACGCCGCTCCTTCAAATCAAGTCTGCAATGCAGAGGCTCAAGTCGGAGCTACGTGAGATGGAGGTCCAGATCGGCGTGTTGGAGCACTCTCTGGTGCGGGTCAGTCTTCGACAAGCCAAAGGTGGCCTTGATGGTTTGAAAGCATAAATCGCCATCTCCATCGCTGCAACTGCTTCTACAGTGGGATCCTTTGTTTTGTTTGTTTGTGTCTGTGTTTTTTTTTCCTTCACAAACCAAAGCAAAAGGAAATCATGAAGGAGATGGGGTTGCAGGAGGTCTTCTCTCCGTTACAAATACTACAATGCCATGTCATAATTCTTACACTATTAGTGAGTGAGATTGTAAGTAAGTAAGTAAGAAAAAAACACAAACATCAAACTTTGTTTTGTTACTTAATTAATTAAGTGTTCTAGCTTGCTTTGCACATTGTATTCTTATTGCATTTATCAATGTATTTTTCTATACGGTAAAATATGTTGGAAGAAAATTTATACTAACTCTTTTATTTCTCTTAAAAATATTTATAAAACTTCTAAAAATAGCTTTTTAAATTTTAGTTTTTAATTTTTAATTTTTTTTAGTCTTTTAAATTTTATTTTGAATAAAGATCTTTAGCCAAAAAAATAAAGATCTTTAGCCAAAAAAAAAAACATTTAAGTAATTTTATTGGTATGCAAGTATAAAATGGTTCTATAATTTTGATTTTTAATTTTTTAATATATTAATATGATTAAGATTAAAATGAATAAAATAAATCATTTTACCACATTAAAAATTTTATTTTATTCTTTGAAAGTTTTTAAATTTTTATTTATTTTATTTAAAAAAAACATATAGACTATCAAAAACAACATAGATGTAGAAATTATAGATAGACATACTTTAGCTTTTAAAGATATTACTTAGAAGATAATTTTTAAACAAATAGTCTTATACAATTAATAAAAATTTAATTTATTTAATATTATTTAACTTTTATCTAATTTTGTTGTATTAGATCTTTCTATTCTTATAAACATAACTTATACGCAAATTGAATAATCCAATATATTTTAGTTTTTCTTCTTAATTTTTTTATACAATATATATTAAATTGATTATAAGAAAAATAAAAGAATTTTTTCTTTTTCTTTTTTGGATGTAAGAATATATATATATATATATAAACTTTAGTTTTGTAACTTTAGGATTAATTTCTATTAAGTTAGATAATTTTATTTGAATCTATGTATAATATATAGAAAAAATAAATTTAAATACGTATTTAATTAATTTATTAAAAAAATTAATTAAAAAATCTGATATATTTACTACAAAGCTTATCATATTTAAAAAAAAATCACAATCAAACATTAAATTTTACATATATATATATATATATATATATATATATATATATATATATATATATTTGATTATTGGATTTAGTAATCACATTGGTCATTAAGAAAAATATAGTCAACTAAATATATTGACTTAATGGCTTAAAGATGTAATTACTTCCATATTAAGAGAATAATTGATTATGAATTATTTATAATATTTCTTTTTTTGATGCAAGATATGAACATTTAAACAAGAAATTTGATAAACCTTTTTTTTTTTCAAGAAAATATATAATATCAAATATGAATTGTTACAAAAACATGTTTCAATATACTTGGCAATGATTTAAGACTTGTACAAACATGAATTATTTAAGATTCTTGTGATTGGTATAAAACTTAATTGGATAAAAAGTACCTTTTAGATAGTGAAGTTATTTTAAGAGTAAATTCATAATAAGAAGTTTCTTGTTGTAAATCTTATAATTAATTTGAATTATTAAGAATTTTCTTAAATGAAAGATAATATTATAAAGTTTATTATCTATATCCATCTATAATAAGATTACAATTAATGCAAATTTTAATAAATTTATTTAAAAAATAATGGTTTAAAAAAATTTAAGTGATATAATATAGGAACTAAGATAAAAATTATTTTTAAACCTTAAAATATTGCTTCTATATTTTCATTCTACTTTATTTTATCTTTAGAAGTTAATTGTTTAAATAAAGTAATAACTTAAGAATTTTTAAATAGATATTTGGTAATAGTTTCTAAATTTTTTAAAAAATTAGACATCACATGTAGTTCTTTAAGTTGCCTAATCAATAATAGTTTATATCTTCTTAAAATCAATTTGCAAATTATCATTTAAAAGAATATAAATTAAAAATCTATTTATATTTTAAAATTTTAATATATATATATATATATATATATATATTTATCTTTTTATGTTGTCTTATATTTCTAATTATGTATAATATTAAAAAAATATTTTATTTATATTTTTTCATATTCTTGGAGTTTATATAAGAATATTGTTCAAATAATATACTATAAAATTATCTAAAAATTCAAAAAATACATCACTCATCAAATATTAGAAAGTAATTAGAATATTTTTAAGTTTAAAAGATATAATATTATATTACAAATAACTACACCTAATTTAGAATATAATCTTTTACTTATTCTTTTTTAATACATACAAATTTATAGGTTATTAATAGGTTTTTAAAATATAGATATTTAGCTTGTAAAATACAAGAACTTAAAAAATCTAAATATGTAAGATGTATATTAGAGAAAGATGACCATATATATATATATATATAAGAAATTAAAATGATTATTGTTAAAGACAATGAGATTATCGATACTTGAAACTAGATTAGAAGTAAGAAAGGAATTGACAAGAGTGAAGATGACCTCATTCTTGCTTTTGTATATACTATCTAGTAAGAAACCATGTAGCAATGTCATCTAGGCTACATGACACATGTCTAATTTGTACGATAAGTTTTGTGCTATATGGCCAATTTATTTGCTAAGCTTTGATGCTATCAATCACCTACAAATATATATAAAGTCAAATCCATATTTATAAGATATTAATAATTTAACTTACTTTTATGCACATCTATTTTTTTTATCTAAGTAAATATATTAGTTATTATTAATGTCTATAATGTTGCCCTCTCTTTTAAACAAGAAATTCAAAAGTAGTTGTACAATTTCTTTATAAGTTTATGAATTCTAAAATCTATTGAATATTGTTATCAACAAACTTTGTTCTTTGTTTTATATGAAGGTGATTGATAAGTCCCTTCAATCATTGATAATATTCCATATTAAGACAAAAATACGACCTAATTATTTGATAATTATTTAGGACTTTATGACTACCTTCAAAAATCACATTTTACATTGCGTTAGGTGTAGTACCTTCTTTTAACAATATTAGTAAGTATTAATAGTCTCTTTTAAGATCATGATACTATACATACTATATTTTATAATTCATTCAAAAAACAACATGTCTTTCTTAAGGATCTAAATTACAATAGCAATGCCATCCTCATTGATATAATTTAAGTGCTTGATTTGAAAATTCTTCAAATGTCAACTCTTAAAATGTATGCATTGGCAATTGATTCTCCATATATGTAAAGAAGTTCTATAAGTTAATTCTTGAACTTCTTCTTCATTTATTTATACTATTTTATTATTGATGGTTAGTTCTTATTTTTGATAGATATTATTAATGAAAACCAAAGACAAGTTGTAATATATTTCTCAAAATTTTCACATAGTTTTTATGTGCATTTAGTAAGATCATATCTATACTAATGTTCAAGATATTTTAATTTATTTTGGTGCTACCTTGAATTTAAGACTTTTTTAATTTTAAATTATTGATTGTTATTAATTTCTATAAATAGAGATTTTAATTATCCTTTTCTTGGCATATCTACTGTCTTATAAGATTTAAAAAGAGAAATATGAAAATAAGATGAATTTTCATCAAGTTGAAAATCTTTAGAATAAATCTTCAAGATTATCAAATTTTAAAAAATTAAAATTATAAAATTATAGATTGGAAACCTTAAGTGCAACTAGAATATTTCATAGTCATAATAAGCCCCATCCTAATCTTGCAAGGACTGGAGAATTTTTTCCATTTCAACTTCACTCAACATACAAAATAAACCATTGTAAATAATAAAATTATTTTTATAAGGTAATCTTTATGAAAGTATAAAATATTAATTTTGAGTCTAGATAGAATATACAGCAAAATCTACCATACATTTTTTTTGAATTCTCCACTAATCATACTTTTAGAATTTTATAAGACTCATCTAATACTCAATTCCAAGGTCTTTTAGATGCACTAAGGTATTCCTATTAAGCTTACTTCAATTCTTAATAAATCTTTCTCAACTACCATGTTCTTGCATAATTTTAAATCTTCATATCTGAATCTTATTTACATCAAGTTTTCTTTTGAATAGAAGAATTCTAAGAATAGAGTCCATGGGCTCTTTTTACAAATCAAACCTTCATCACTACAGAGTAGCATATAAATGAATTTGAACTCATATTTCAATCAACCACTAGCTCTGATCATGTAGAGTGTCACTTCTTGGCAGTGTATTGATGCATGATTGAACAAACATAATTCTCTCCATTCACTACTTTCGTAGTTCAACGTTAAGAATACTCTAGGAAAAATCCTGCATAGGTCCTACTCAAGCATAGCATTTGCATTATCAACAAATATCACTCAAGAGTAAAATAACATAAATGACAAGAGTCAAGAATTTTTTATAGAATAAAATATAAATTCTACATACAAAAATATTCTTTAAGCTGGTACCTTGTACTTCAAGGGACATTGTCTATTCTAAAATCAATCCATTTGCTAATTTTTAAAGCCTGATAGATCAGAGCTTTTGCATTACAATGTCTGGATTATTCATTGATTTTTTTTTTTTTTTTTATCACTTAAGTACTGTAATCGTCGTTTGACTCGGACTCAAAACACCAAGATATTTGATCAGTATAGGTGGGTTCGATCTCGGGGAAAGACTCGTTGTATGAATTGGATATATTATGTCACAATTGATTATGTATTAATTATCTAAAACTTCCAAAGTTCTCTTCCTCATCTCAATTCAATCCTTTTACAATCTCTACAATCGTTCACTGCCCTGCAGCTACTAAATATCACTGACATTCCTGACATCTACAGGATGCTTAATCTCTTTCCACAGTACTTCAATTCTCAATTCCTTTACTTTTACTCAATCTTCCAGTGCTACTAACACAATGCAATAATCTCTATTATCACAATCACACTTTCTTTCTCTAAATTAATTAATTCAAATTCATAATTTTCAATATCTCAATCACAGTTTCAGCAATCCTTTTTTTAAATCCAATACTAAAGAAAAACACAAAAGCAAAGAAAACAAAAGGGTAACTCCAAGCTTTACCCTGGCTCACGACTATCACAGTCTGGCCTCCATTCCTTCTTCTTCAACCTCTTTATCCTACCAAAATATGAATTGTCATTCAGCAGATTCCACAGGTTGTGAAACTTTGGCTTCTTAACCGCATATGTTCCTAACTTCCTACTATTAACAACTAATTGAACTAACCA